CTCTGGTCTCTTGGATTATGGACTACTTTACTGGCCACCTCCAGTACGTCCGCATACAGAACTGTGTCCAACACTGTGATGTGCAGCAGCGGTGCTCCTCAGGGGACAGTTCTTTCTCCCTTCCTCTTCACCCTGTATACATCTGATTTTAGTTACAACTCCGAATTCTGCCATCTTCAGAAGTTCTCTGATGACTCTGTGGTTGTAGGATGTATTCAGGGTGGTGACACCTCAGAGTATCAGACGGTAGTGGACAACTTTGTTACCTGGTGTGAGCTAAACCACCTACAGCTCAATGTCAGGAAAACAAAGGAACTTGTAGTGGACTTTAGAAAATCCAGGACCCCCCTCACTCCTTTGTCTGTCCATGGTGAGGAAGCGGAGATTGTTGCAAATTACAAATACCTGGGAGTCCATATAGACAACAAACTGGACTGGACATCAAATTCAACAGCACTCTTCAAGAAAGGTCAAAGCAGGCTGTATTTTCTGAGGAGGCTCAAGTCTTTTAACGTCTGCAACACTATGCTGCAGATGTTCTATGAGTCTGTGGTGTCTAGTGTCATTTTCTATGCGGTGGTCTGTTGGGGAAGTAGTATGAAGGTGGCAGACAGAAATAAACTGGACAAACTAATTAGGAGGGCTGGCTCTGTACTTGGCATGGAGCTGGACCCTGTTCACGTTGTGGCTGAGAGAAGGATGTTGTCAAAACTTTACTCAATCCTGGACAATCCTTCTCACCCACTACACAGTGTGCTGGTCGACCAGAGGAGCACATTCAGCCAGAGACTAATTACTGCTAAGTGTTCCACTGAGCGCTTCAGAAGATCCTTTATCCCTGTGGCCATTAGGCTGTACAACTCCTCTCTATAAGTGCTGGGACATATTTTGAGTAATGCATGTGCAATATATGTTCATTTTATATGCAATACGGGACTTTTCTTGTGCAATGCAATTTATTATTATTATTACTGCCTATTTATTCATATTAAGATTAGTGTGCAATACATACTATATAACTACTGTACTTAATTACCATTACCATACTGGACTTCTTGTACTCCACATTTGTCATTCCATTCCACTTTAATTAATTTCATATTTGATCTAAACTATCATTTTCACTGGTATAGTTTTATATTATTATTTGTATGTTTTACTTATTAATTTTTAATTTATTGATATATAGGTTACTGTAAAAAAGATTCCGTAAAATTTACGGTAAAAAAACGGTAGCTGTGGTTGCCGGAATTTTACCGTAAAAAATACGGTAGCAACGTTTTAGGTTTTACGGTTTTAACTTAAATTTACAGTTAAATACCGTAATTTCATTAACTGATATAATGTTAATATATCAACCTATTGAAGTACTGAAATCTGTTTTGTACCTTTGTAATACACTGATAACCACTACTGCAGGTGGTGATGAGAAAGTCACATGATGAACCAAAGCCCATTACAAGCAGCTTTTAAATAATAACATATATAGAAGGTGCACAGTGTCATTCACACAAACGCTAAACACCATCATGGTAACACACATGAAACTGACATAATGCAATAAACATTCATTTAACAACATTAGGTGTAACACACAACCCTAATATACAAAACTGATAAGAAAAAAACTAAGAAACATAGTTATTTCAACAAAAAAACATCAAATTTGAAATGTAACGCAGGGAATTCTGGGAATGTCAATTTACGGTTATTCACTGTAAATTATACGGTCTTTTTCAACTTCCAAAAAAGTTTTTCACCGTATATAGTAGGGGAATTTACCGTTAACCATTTAACAGGTTTTTACTGTAGCATTTTTATAGTCTTTTACCGTTAAATTCACGGTCATTTTTTACAGTGTATGCTAGTGATGATAATTAATGGACATCTCACTCATTTTACTAAGAAATTACATTGTTTTCTAAGAAACTTAGAAAATACATTGTTTTGTTTAAAAACTGAATTTCAGATTCATTAGATTTTAGTGACTACATACCAGCTTCGTCAAATACTTTATTTTCAGATCTGTATAAGAACCACACCATGAGAACCAGTCAACCAAAGAGTTTCCTTTGAGTGGACAATTTCAATTGTAACCACTTTAAAAATGGAACACTGTCTTTATACTTTATAATTCTGACTCTTTCTTGTCCGTGCGACTGTCAGTGTCATGTGTTAGGACAGTAAGATCCATATTAACTGTAACTGCAGTAGGCTTGCCGCGATAGACGTTTCTTATTTATTTGGTTATATATTATACATGTTTACTTAGCCTGTTTCCAGTTTTGTATACCTATTTAAGCTTTATGTAAGTTATTTGCTATTTTATATTAGGCATAGCCTTCCCTATCATGGTGTATTTTTATTTGTTTTGTTAATAAAAGTTCTATGTTTTATATATATGCTAAAGTGAGTTTCACGTTGTATTTTGTTGTTGCCTAACTGCCAATTGACGCCTAACTGCCGCTAATTCAAAAGTGAAAGTAAAATGTGCACGCAGCTTTTACAAGCTATTTAAAAGCGAAGGAAAGCGAGGAAAAGAGGGAACGTCCCGCCCCCACGGTGATACCGGTATTACCGGTGTTGTCACACGTCGTTTAACCGATTGGAAAATTTCCTCACCGTCACAACCCTAAACTGCAGTTAATATGGTTTTGCTAACACTTGTTTTGATCCTGCCCAAGTGTCTGGTTTCTAGTTACATTCTGATAGTGTTGGTAAACACGTATGTAGGCTACTTAACATTGTTTCCAAGGTCATACAGCTTTAACAATAAAAATAATTGTAACATTTTGTATAACAATCTAATAATTTTAAATTCAACTTCTCTTTAGAGAAAAAGTGATGTGTTTGAAGTGTGTGAGGGGGGCGGGTTTAACAGTCAGCAGCGACTGTATGCTGTTCTACTTTTTTTTGAAGACCACAACGAGCTGCTTTCTGCCTCACTGTGCCGATATGTTTTTTTTAAAGCGTGGAGTTTATCAACATCACAAAATGTTCAGAGGACTGCTATTTATGATCGGTATGTAATTATTTACAATGTTGATGTTAATGTTTATAATTAATGATAACATTTATTTGAGTTGTCATGATTTAAACTATTCTTTATTTGAATCTGAAAATGTCTGGGCAAGAGTAGAAACAATATTATTAAAACATAATTAATCTTATTACATTGTCCCTATGAAATAAAAGTATGTGGTCTGAATTATTTTGTATGTTACAGTCATATGGAGTGTGACCGGGTTCAACATTCAAATAACTCCTGTGAAGCATTTCAAAGAAGATGATCCACTCTTTGGTCAAACCATTATTCAATCAACAGATGGGTTGGTCATATATTAGAGTTTTATATAATTCTAGCTATATATTTATATATTTTTTTTTTTAATTTTTTTTTTTAAGTAAATTAAATTAGATTCTTTTTTATTTAAGATCATCATAAAGAACATTATTGACCTATTTTAGTAAAATTGTCTTAATGTGTCCTATTCTAGAGTTTTTGTTCCTTCCCCAAAAAATGGAGCACTTTTCAGATGCACCTTACAGGATGAATGCATTGAAGTAAATTCTGATGGTACATTTGTCCTTGTCTTTTCATACTGATGATTACTCTGAAAACTTTACTTTGTTAATTTCATAATGTCCTCATTGATTTACACAATTACCTTTTCACTGTAAAAGTCTTATTACGTCAATATCTCTTTTAAAGATGAAAAACCTAAAGGCCTGAGACCGGTAGTATCAGTATCTAGCCTGACATCAGAAGAGGAACAATGTATTATGGTATTTATAAAGATCCTTAAATACAAGGATGTCAGATATGGCCGGCAACTGTTTTATTCTCAACCTGATTATACTTACAAAAGGTTGAGCACAAAGCTATACCAAACAATTAAACTGTTTATAATCAGTTTGCACAAGACTTTGAGTCTGTCGCACAGCATTTTCACAGTTCAACCACAGAGTGTGGTTTCCCCTTTACATATGTGACAGACAGAAGAGTCATAACTGTGATGTCACTCAAAACCATAGTAACAGCACTTCCCCATGAAAACTTGTTTTTAAAAAAAAACAGTATTCTCTAAATCAGAGCTATTGTGTCTCTATGAGTTAAAATCTGCCACAAATTCTCATTAAAATAAGACATTAGCATTTGTTTGTTTTGTTGGAATGAAAATGATAGTTGAATATGAAAGGAAATTACTTTTGTGAAAGATAAAAATGAAATATTTAGATTTGTGTATATTTTTCTCCTGAGATGTGTAATCAAGTTCGCATAAAAAAGTCAGTAACTGAGGATTTGAACGGAGATTGCAAACTGATGAATCCATCTGGAAGAGTCACTGGAAAACCGAATCCTGTTGCATTAGGTAAGATTGGATGATTATTTTATTATAGTATTTCAGATTCAAGCAGATAAAATCCTAACCCTTACCTTTCAAAATCTCTTTCTTCTCAGTCAACAACAACAACAACAATCATTATCAAGGTGCAAGGACTGGTCAAGGTGAGCTCATCTGAAAAAAAAAATGTGTTGCCTTAGTTTGACTGTTTTAAAGAATCTGATTGCTAATCTACATTTTTATCAATATCTACAAGATCAACGGAAGATGAGAAGAGACGCCCAGCCAGACGGTGATACAAAAGATAGGGATTATGATGGTACTAATCTTGTTTTGCCTTTAAAATAAATTAATATTATATTCATTATGTCACGCTGATGGTGTTGTACAACAGATACAAAGAAAAAACAGTCATCTCAAACCATAATTTCTATATCTTTTGTAGATATATATTTTTGATAGACTTTGTAGTTCTACACTAAAAAGCCACAAAAAAGCCAAGAACATTTTTGACATTCTTTAAAAAGTATAGAACTGAATGTAAGTTATTGCTATGACTAGTGCTTAAGGACATTCCCTTGATGTAACATCAGGGGGGAAGGTTAGGATGATTTCAAAGACCCTGATCAGAGAGGCCATTATAAGAGAACATTATGGATTCAATAAGGGATTGTTGTCAAGGTTGCAATGAATTGTCAAAAATGAATGCAATCACGTAATGTTAGGAAAAATTTCAAAGTTAGGATTTAGTCTCTAAAATTTTGAGCTATTTATTTTCAGACTATTTAAGCAACCATACAAGTTGCCGCTAATAGCTCAACTTCAACACTAAAGCAACAATTAATGGCTTGAACAAAGAAACAAAATACAAACAACAGGACAAATACAATAAGACAAAGATGAAATAAAATGGTGCTTTAAAGTTTAAAATTCAGTAACTTTCCTTAATACAGAATGTACATCCTATGGGTGCAGCTAACACTTGAGTAAAACATTTATACATATTATAGATAAAGATAGATAAAGTATTGAATGAAGATAACGAAGATTTGAAATTTACTTCTGTCACAGTGAATGTGCCACTGCCATCAAAATCTGCACTTCTGTCTCCTGCTACAAACCAAATGGAAAATAAAAAATTCAACAGCAACAACAACAACAACAATCATTATCGAGGTGGAAGGATTGAGGAAGGTTAGTTTGTTTATAATTTAATGTCATGCCATCTACCAAGACTATATTCATGGTGAGAGACAAAAGAAAATAGAAAAAGTTAAATAAATAAACCGTTCTTAATAAATGTAAGATATAAGCTACAAACTAAAAAAAGTAATGTTTTTTTAATTTTATCTTTGATAAAAAGAAAATGGCCTCACTTCATTAAAAACATTTTCATAAGAATTTATCTGAAACGAGAGGAGTTAAAACCACATAGTCCATTAAAATATGCTTCAGAAATATTGGAGAGCACATCTGAAATTGAAATAAACTGTTGCCTTAATGTTACTCATGTAAGGAATCCGTTTTATAATTTACATCTCTGTCAATATCTACAAGTTAAACGGAGGATGAGAAGAGACGCCCAGCTGGATAGTGACACAGATGAAGATGAGGATGAGGATGGTACTAATCTTTGTTCAGCCTTTGAAATAAAATCCGCATTTAGGCTATTATTTCATACTGATGGTGTTGTACTACAGATGCATAGATCAATGAAGCCATTATTTCTATACTGATGTTTCAGATGATCTTTTGTAGATGCTGGGACAGAGATTGCTTTTGTGCTGGATGGCTCTGGTAGCATTCAACATGATGACTTTCGGAGAGCCAAAGACTTTATCTACAATGTCATGTTTAATGTTTGGAACACATGTTTCGATGCAAGTATAAACTAAAGTATTTTATGACACATTTTAAGCACAATTTAAAAGGTATTTTATCTAAAAAAAAAATATACTCTCTCTTCAGTGTAACTTTGCAATAGTGCAATATGGTAGTAAGATCAGGACAGAGCTCTCACTACTAGACAATGACAACGGGGCCAAAACCTTGCAAAAGGTCAAAGAAATACAGCAAATTTACAATCTCACAAAGACCGCCTCAGCCATCCATCATGTCCTGTGAGTTTACAGATTATAATATGAAATATGACATTTTACACCTTAAGTGTTTGATTAACATGGAGCACTTTTGTTGGTGATACGTTAATGTCATGATCTCACTGGTTTCACTGGTTGTTTACAGCACAGATATTTTCATCCCTGAGAATGGATCAAAGATTGACTCCAAAAAAATTATCATTGTATTGTCTGACGGAGAAATTTTGGGAGACAATATGATTCTTTCTGATGTTTTGAACATGCCACAAATGAAAGGTGTAACTCGCTATTCCATAGGAGTAAGTGTCCTGTTTACTGCTTATTTCCACAGCATTTTAGATAATAAATAACATTTTGAAGTTTTTAAATGTACATCATCTGTTGGAGTTACAAATTACAGTAATTTATTTTAATTTGTCTTGTAGATACATCTAGAGTCCTACTAAAACACTCATATCATCTATATTACTCATAGCTTGCTATTGTATAGTCAAGGATTTTATTATGGTTTAACCAAATAAATCATAAAACCCATACACTTGCAATAACCACTGTTACCTTTAGGTTGGTGATGGCATTCTGAAAAAACCTAAAGCAATACAAGAGATGACGGACATAGCAGACCGTGGCAAATTTTTCAATGTTTCCAATTATGCTGCATTAGATGACATTCTGTCATCACTGCAACAAAGTTTAATTGGAATTGAAGGTAAGAAAGTTTTCAGTAAACATTACGCTGTAATAGAGATAGGCAGTTTGCATAGTTTGCATGCTAAAATCTGATTGGATGAGCTGCTGTAGCCTAGATAAACAGCCTTTGTAAAATTAAGCCTTTCTGATAATCAGAGGGATACTGTTTTTATACAACAGTTCAGTGAACAAGAAGTAAATAACTGAGTATGGCCACATTCACACTGCAGCAGAATACGGTTGTCAGTCCTGTATTTGAGTCATTAATACGGTTACGTTCACACACAGTTCGGTTATTTACAGGTGTGACAACCGCATTCTGTAACCGAACTCACACCTGTACATTTTCAGTACTCACAACCGCATTCTCGGAACACACGCGCTGTGTGAATGGAACAGGACTGGACAACTAGTGTCTGTCACGTCACAGTGCGAGAGAGTCGCTCTGCCGCACAAACACGCGTCTACCGTGTGGTGCGTGTTTTCTTGTGTGTTTTCAGTAACTTAAAGTGCCGGAGAAATGAGCTGTGTGTCATCTGAAAGTTTCAGATCCCCTCAGTTTTCCACCGGAGTCGCTCCAATCGAACTCGATTGGACTCTTGTCGTGTCAGAAAGTGATAAGACTTTCAGTTTTATGGACGTTACCATCTTTGATTTTACTTTGGTCACTGTCGCTATGGTTACTGGTAAGGAATACGGGCTTGACTCCCGTTGAACGTTCATACAGACAGTTTTCTAAACACAACTGTAAGCTGCTGTGTGAACGGGACATTTCGAGACTCACACCTGTAAAGAAAATGCGGTTGTCAATCCCAAAAACTGACCGTGTGAACGTAGCCAACAAACATTGTTCTAAACAAAGGAATCGGTTAAGTGAATGTTTCAATGACTCCTCCATAAAGAGCTAGTTTTCTTTCAAACATTCTCTCAGTATCTCACTAAGGGAAACACCTCTGGGCGTGACCGATCCTGGAAGCACCAATTACACCACGTCTGTCAGTTGACAGACCAATCACGACAGTGATGTGGGAGTCCCGCCTCCCTAAATATATACCACTGCCGGTGGTCCCCACTTCTTTCTCGTTCTCTTCCCCGTGAAGATCCTTTTGGGAAGCTATCCTCAGCAGTTCCTCGCAGGCAGTGGCCGCTAAACAGTTCACTTGACCAGCCGGTGTTTTTAGGTACGTCTCCAAACATGGCTATCTTTTTCCTTATTTTTCAGAGGGAATATTCACTGTCAAAGTGAATATTTTTCTTCTGCTGTCTTTTCTGGTGGGAACTAACGCGTCGAGGCGAGTTCTCATTTTTCATATCTCGGGCCGTTACAGCTCTTTTTTCTTTTACCCACGTTAAGTGGTGTGTCAGAATAATATTTCTGTGTTAGCATCTCTGTTATGGCGACTGCGAACCCATCTAGCAGTGCAGCTAAGGGTAAAGATCCCTCTCGCCCGTGCGCTTGCGGGTCTATGATTTCGTCCAAAGACTCTCATCCTCTATGCATTGTGTGTCTGGGAGTTAGACACGCACAGGCCGTGCTCGCTAATCCCGAGTGCTGCCCACACTGCTCTCTTTTCCCGTTAAGGGTATTAGAGGGCAGAATGCGAGTCGTGGCCGCGAATAAGGAGGATCTGAGTTTTTCCGCGCCATCCGCGGACAAAGACGAAGCGGCTCAGCGAACCCAGTATAGCTGGGAAGAGTTAATGGACGAAATCTCTCCCAAACTTCCCCCTCTCTTTGAATCAGACCCCTTGGCGGGGGATAAAGAGGAGAAGGAAGACGATGAGACGATTGCTCATCTTTTGGAAGAGGATTTAGAAGAAGATGAAGAGGATGCAATTCTCCCTTGTAATCTCTCTTCCAGGCCTAACAGTGCAACTGGGGAGTCTCCCTCCCCCATACAGGGAGATTTGGACCTTATTGAAATGTGTAGGAGAGCAGCTGCTAAACTCTCTATCGACTGGCCATCACAAAAGGAAGGCCAGGGCACAGAGAGGGATTTATATGATTTATATATACGTCGCTCACTTCCCCAGCCAAGCAGCTGATTCCAGCCGTCCCAGCATGTGTTGCAGAGATGCGCCGTTTTTGGGACAAACCTTTCTCTCATAGAGTGCCTGTTAAAGGTTTCTCTAGGCTGGATGTACTTAACATGGAGGAACTGGGGATGTCCAACCCCCCCCCAGTAGAATTGTCGGTGGCAAGTCACCTCCACCCCAATCGCCGGGCAGCCCTATCCTCCGCCTCTCCTTCACTGCCAGGACGGACAGAGAGGCTTTCCGCTTCTCTGTTCCAAAAGATCTACCCGTCATCTGAGTTGGCTGTCAGAGCTTTAAACGCCACCTCACTGCTCACAGCATATCAAGCTGAACTCATGGAGGAGATGGGGAGGCAGATTGACGCTGGGTCTCCTGACTCAGCACTGTCGGAAGAGATCTGCGTCATTGCAGATCTCAACCTCCGGTCATCCAGAGGAGCAGTCCAGAGCTGTGGTGGGCGAAAGAGCTCTGTGGTTGGGACTATCAGGCCTGTCGGAAAGGGAGAAGGCAGAGTTCCTTGATGCTCCAGTGGAGCCGAAAGCCCTTTTCGGGGCTTCTGTGACCAATATGCGGCAGCAGTGGGACCTCCGCAAAAAAGATGGAGAAGCTTTTGAAACTTGTCTCCCCTTAAAGCCCACTGCTCGACCCACCCAGCCCACACGCCCTGGGTTTTCCTCTGCTTCCAGTGCAGGACAGTCAGGGTACCGTAACCCTAGCCCCCCCCACCCCAGCAGTGAACCTGAGATAGCCACAGCAAAGAGGTAAAGCCTAATTTGCGGCTGCAGCAGCTAAACATCGCCCAGCTAACCCTCAAGGAGGCAAGAAGAGGCGGGCGACCTAACCAGTGGTCTTTTTCTGAGTCAAAAGAGGGGCTACAGCACTCATGGAGTCTCTGTAGCATCCCTCTCCATAACACAAAAATCTTGTTCTCCCCCTCCAGCAAAGAAGTGTTCTCAGTTCTCAGAGTGGAGTGTTGGCACCAGTTCAACCAGTGCCCCCCAGGTTGTTTCTCCCCTCTCCACCCGCGGGGTTATGCAAGAGAGAGGAGGAGGTTTGGCATAGTCAACAGTGTTTGAAACGAATAAAAATGTTCCCTGTGCATCCAGGCAGTGGGCCAAGGGCACAGGAGTGTGTGAAAATAAACAAAAAATACACACAAAAATGCTCTATTCAGAGCTGCAACCCCCAGCTCCGCCATCAGTGAGCGAGAGCTGCAGCGGACCGCTCGCTGCTCACGCGGAGAGTTGGCGCGCATGCGCAGTACACCCTTGGGTTTTATCCACGATAAAGTGGGGCTATCGTCTGCAGTTTGCTGTAAAACCACCACTTTTCAACAGTGTGTTAATGTCAGCAGCAGAAGGGGAGTCAGCTCAGATTTTAGAGGAAGAAATAACCTCTTTATTGAGCAAAGGAGCAATTTGGGTTGTGCTGTCCTGGGACAGCCATCACAGCTTTTACTCCCGGTACTTTGTCATTCCCAAAAGAGGGGGGGGGGGAATGCATATTTTCACATAAGCATTTATCCAGCACACAGGAAATTCCTCAGGTTTGCCTATCGGGACACAGCTTGCGAGTTTTTGACAATTCCATTCGGCTTGGCCATGCTGCCATTGAGAATAATGGGTCTAAGAGTGCCAGCATATTTGGACGATCTATTGCTGTGCGCTGCGTCACGGCAGCAGGCAGAGAGAGACAAAAATGCTTGTGTCTCATTTGGAGAGCTTAGGCTTCAGGATAAACGAGACAAAGAGCTGCTTGGTGCCCACACAAGAGATAATTTACCTGGGTCTCAGACTGAACTCAGACCTGTATCAAGCGTTTCTGTCGGAGGAGCGCATCAGGTCAATTCGTGGCTGTTTGTCCCTTTTTCAGAAAGGAAACAGAGTTCAATTCAGACTGTGTTTACGTCTTCTGGGGCTGATGGCCTCGACAGTTTCTGTCATTCCACTGGGACTGTTGCGAATGAGGGAGTTCCAGCACTGGACAGCGGCGCAGCCACCTCAACCGCAAAGTGATCTCTTCGTCACTTTGCATGCGCGCTCTTCATCACTGGAGAGATCGCTCTTTTCTTGAGTTAGGGACTCTGCTGGGAGCAGTTTCTCAGAGAAAGGTGATCACAACGGCTGCATCGCTCACAGGTTGGGGTGCAGTGTGCGAGGGCAGAATAGCGAAAGGGAAATGGCCCATCTCGCTACAAAACGCACACATAAAATTCTGTGATCACCAGTAATCAGTTATTTGTTTCTTGGGCTGATTCTCATAAGGGTAAACCTATTTCACGTCAGCGCCTGTCCCACTGGGTAGTGGAAGCTATTATAGTAGGTTATAATAGCATGGGTCTCTGTCCTCTGGAAGGGCTAAGAGCTCATTCTACCAGAGGTATGGCCACCTCATGGGCACTATTTAAGGGCGTTTCAGTTCAGGACATTTGTGCAGCAGCAAGTTGGGCATCGACTCACACATTTGTCCGATTTTATAGACTGGATGTCACTGAGCCATCGCTGGCTCATTCCGTCCTAAGCAGTGCTTGAAGTGGGCCGGTACGCACCGGTACACAGTACCAGCACTTCTATATTTTAGCCTTTAGAGTACCTGCACTTTTTTGTGCGTAAAAAGCGTCAGGGTCTGGGTGATTATATGTTCCCATAATATGATTAGAAAGGACACTATATAAATCACACTACCCAGGCAGGATCACCTCTCATCTTGACCAATCACGTGAATGAATGCAAGCTTACCCTGCGTTCCATTCGGAAGGGCTCATCCTTATGCCCTAATCCCTTCAAGGGTTTACCCTCCGGAGACAACACCCTTTTTGCCTTGTCAAAAATAGCTAGAAGTTTAAATTTACAGTAAAGAAAATGCACTGTACTATTTTTTTATTTTATATAAAATAAATATTTTACAAAATAGGTTTTTATCCAAAATTGCTACAAAATTAAAGCCATATGTCTAAATAAGTTATGTTCCAAATTCGGAAGGGCTCATCCCTATGCCCTAATCCCTTCAAAGGGTTTACCCTCCGGAGTGAGAGCTTCAAAGGGTTGAAGGGTGTAGGGGACCAAACAACTGTTTCTTGAAGTGCCCTTCTGCGTCATCATCACGTGCCCACACGGAGGCGCCGTCATCATGCAAAGAATCTAGGCAAAAGATCATGGGAGCCCGAAGTGTCCATCAGTTGTACCCTTTGAAATCCTTCATTCCGAAGGGCCCTTTGAAGTGGCCAGTTTTGAGCACTTCGGTTTGGAACGACCCTTCAATATGGCGGCCATGATTGTTTTCACTCCAAAGTGCCCTTCGGAGGGCAATATATCCCGTTTGGAATGCACCGGGAGTGTGTGGGGCGCGAGAGCATGTCAGGGGAGGTGCGCAGAGTAGTAGAATAATTATTATTTATTGATTACTAATTTGAATCAGTACTTTATAACGAAAATAATATCTTAAAATTAAAAGAAGCAGGCTTTTGCGATCACATCATTTTAAACCGTAAACTCCTGCAAAGTCCAAGGATCCAGTAAACGAATTCAAACAGTAAGTTCAAAACAGCCTAATGCAGAGAAAATACGGCCGATTTCATCAGCGATTGTGGAAAGAATAGTGACTTACGTCCAGATGTCAGTAAAATTATTATTTTCAGCGTGTATTTGGCTTAAATGCAAGAGTGTTTTATAATGAACGCTGATTATGCGTGGTCAGAGATTTAGCGATTCTGAATGGATCTGTATAATAGGAAGGCGATTTAGTGGTCTTTGGCGTCTCCCTGTGGTCCTGTTTGGTATCGCAGCTTGACTTGTGCTAATTTGTACTGAAAACTTTTATTAAATTATTGATTGATTGATTGTGGCACTAGACATACATTGTGAATTATTAAAAAGTACTTATTTATTTAATATCAATAAATAAATAAATAAATAAGGGGGGGGTGAGTACCGGCACTTTTTTCCACTTCAAGCACTGGTCCAAAGTGTGTAAAAATTTTTTTAAAAACTCGTTCGTGGGGGTTTTTTGTTCACATATATTCCTGTTCTATTCTTAGAATAGTTACAGGTGTTGTGTTTATGTTACACACATCACTGAGTTGGTTGACATGACTGCTTCGGACAGCATATCTGCAATACGGGAGTTGTCTATATCCCTTAGTGAGATACTGAGCAAATGTTTGAAAGAGAACGTTAGGTTACTTACGTAACCCCGGTTCTCTGATAACATGAGTGAGGTATCTCACCACACTTCCCTCCTTGCAGTGCATGGAGAAGAGATATGCGGAGAATGAAGTGGGGACCACCGGCAGTGGTATATATTTAGGGAGGCAGGACTCCCGCATCGCTGTCGTGATTGGTCTGTCAACTGACAGACGTAGTGTAATTGGTGCTTTTAGGATCAGTCACGCCCAGAGACATTTCCCTTAGTGAGATACCTCACTCAAGTTATCAGAGAACCGGGGTTACGTAAGTAACCTAACGTTATTTAGTTCCCAAATGAGTCAGTGTGTTTTAATGAATTGTTAAGTGAATGATCAATGACTCACTCGTGAAGACAAACACTTGTTGCCATCTACTGGTTTTTCATGCAATTATCTGACCACTTTGTGTCTCAGGCACTCAGCAAGGTGCAGGATTTCAGTTCCAGCTTGCTGAAACTGGATTCAGCACCCATCTCATGCAGGACGTAAGTAGGATTTTTGGTCTCTGATACCTTTTATTTGAGAAACTAATCTTCGTATTACTATTAAGAATGTGTGGATGTTTGCAACAACTTTTCCCAAGATGATTAATTGTTATACTCAGGGTCGCTGCTAGCAATTTTGGGCCCTATGAAAGAATATGAGGTTGGGCCCCCTACCGCACCAAACATACACTATATTGCCCAAAGTATTGTGACACCCCCTTCTAATGAACAGGTTTGACTACTTTAGTAATTTCCATGAATACAAATCTTAATGTTTAAGCATATAATTATATTTTAGGGAATTGTGTGCTTCTAATTTTATACCAATAGTTTGAACAGGACCCTTTTCTATTCTAACACAACAATGCCTCTGTGTATAAGGCAAGGGTTAAAAAATAAATAAATAAATTGATTCAGTGTGGAAAAACTTGACTGGTCTGCATAAAGCCAAGTCCTAATCCCAGCTGAACACCTCTGGTGTGACTTTAAATTCAGACCGTGAGCCAAAAACTCTTCACCAAACACCAGTGAAAAGTATTAGGACACCCCCTTCTTTAGAACAGAAAAAGGCACTTCCAAAACTGTGGCAACAAAGATGGAAACATAATTCATTTTGTATTTCTATCTTTGTTGCCACAGTTTTGGAAGTGTCTAAAATGACTGTACCCATATGTACAAGTCATTGGTGTTTGGTGATGAGTTTTTGGCTCAAGGTCTGCATTTAAAGTCACTTCAGGACTTTGCTTTCTGCTGCAGTTCTTCCACACTGACTGAATCAGTCTATTTTTTTTTTTTACCTTGCCTTATACACAAAGGCATTGTTGTGTTAGAATAGAAAATGGTCCTGTTCAAACTATTGGTATAAAATTAGAAGCACACAATTCCCTAGAATATC